CAGCGCTCCGCCGCCCCCGGCCCGCCCGGGCCCGGCGGGCAAGGGCGGCACCTGTGCCCCTGCCTTCAGGAGTCCCGGCCCGGGCCTCTTGTACCCGAGGCCTCCAGGGCAGGACGAGGCAGAGCCGAGAGCCGCTCAGCTGGCGCGTTACCGTAGCTGCAGCTTGTTTCAGCCACAATTAACTACCTGAGCAAAAGAGCCACGTTTGCTCCGAGCCACCATACGGCCAAAGACTGTCCGCTCTGCTCTGGGTAGGCGATTGGTTTTGAAAGCTCTCCTGCCGAAGGTAGGTGTCACCAGCTTGCTTGGAGATGTTCTCAGCATCTAAGCGTATGCTAACAATCTCGACTGAACGACAGGAGAAATCTAGAAAAGTCAGCATTAGATACGTGCTCTCATGTAGTTCTCCATAACTGCGAAAACCTTGTCCAATATGGACATTGTGTACAATGCTGTAGCATGATAAAGGAGAAAATATTATGGATCTGCTTCTAGCTCATTCACAAGTGGTGTTTGAAGGTTAGAGGCACAAGATAGTAGTGTAGTAAACTATCTATGCTGGAATGAACTGGTGAATTGAGTCTGAAGAGATCCATCAAGGAGCTCTGTTGCTGTAAAGAAGATCCCTGAATTCCACAGTTGTGTACAGTTCAGCCTCTTTGCTGACTCTCTCTTTTTAAAGGTTATTTGCTACTTTTTTTTTTTTTCTGAAAGGTTTGTGATTTCCTCTTTATACTGTACCCTTTAAAAATCAGTCATTGCAATATTAGACACTGTTTTGTCTGTTCTGGAGAAAATATCCTGCAAAATGGAGAAACACATCAACCTTGACTGAGGTCCAAGTTATTAAAGCAAGGAAGAGGTTATTCTTTGGGGAACTCAGTGAAGGAAAAAAAAAAAAAAAAAGACACAATAGAAATATTAAAGGAGTACTGAACAAAATAAATGGCTTCTTACTTGTCCAGGAGTCAGACTGCTAGCAGTGTAAAGTATGTGACCTAGGATGCATGAAAGAAGGGGGAAAAAAAGAAAAAAAAATCAAGATGAATGATCTATGGTAAAACAAAGCTGAAAGTTTTGGTATAGGCCAAGATTGTAGAATCTGTGGAAAATCAGCGCTAGACATAGCCTCATCATTGGTAATATGAGCCAAAATAGTTATCTGTCTTTTCTGGCTGAGAGTTACAATACACAGTACCTCCAATCTCAGTTGCCATGAACATAAGGTATTCTTCCCAAGATTTACATCTTTAAAATATATGATCTGTTCATAAGTGATTCCCAGGCGTTTAGTATTTCAGATACTTTTCTCAATCTTGTAGTTGTAATTTAAGAATTTTGGAATCAATCTTTCTGTTGAAATATGGAGCTTCTCTATTCTGTACAATGATGACAGTCCTTATTTAGCTCCCTTGCCTTGAGTTCTCATGAGCCCTTAGCTAAGCTTAGCTAAGACTTCTACACTTTATAACAAGGAAGAAAACATTACCAATAAATTTTGTAAGTAATTAGAGAGCTCTACAATTATATAAAACTTATGGGTCATGTGCCTTATACTTGACAGTAGACCAGTTCAGTAGCTTGCTTTCTCGGTTCATGTTCGGTGAAAGTTTAATATACTGAAATGAAGCTGTTGCCATATATTTTAGGTAAGGTTGGTAATAGCTTCTATGCTTAAGTTGTTTAGCAGTTTCTCTGGTAGCATTCTGGTTTTAGCTGTTTGCATTCTTGCCAATATTTGATTGACCAGCGCTAGAATCTTCTCATTTTGGATTAAAAGTTTGATATTTGGCAAGGAATCTTGTCAGGCGGCCAAAACTGTGTCCTTTTCAGCCATTGTGAAAATCATTCCAGTTGAGTTGCAAGCTTCTCAGCAGTCCAGTTTGTGCATTATTAGTAGAAGCAAGAGTCTGGCAACTAACTATCTCATCATTTTATCTGCCTGGAGCTTGCTTCAGCCTGTGGCTTTAAGGCCTTAGCAGATTTGCTGAAATTTTTTCCTCTCTGGATATTTTAATGTCAGATACTGGAGCTCAGGGCAAGAAGTTTCCTTGTCTCTGTGGCTTTTAGTCTTTTAAGTAGTTTCAGTAGGTGTAAGCATTAGGAAACTGCAGAAGGATTAGCTTGAGTGTCAAGCAGGAGCAGGCAATAAAAGGTATGGAATAGGGTGCGTGACCAGCATTGCTGAATGGTGGAGAGGGGAACATAAGGTGAACGGAGGTGGTCTGACGTAGGACAAGAATGTGACAGATTGGCAGGGGATGGGGAGCGATGCAAGTGCAGGGCAGGTAGAAACAGATAGAAAGGGCTGCAACTAGCTTGCTTCAGAACACGGAGTAGGTCCTAGAAGTTGAATTCTAGACATTTCTACTTCCTGGCAAACCAAAATGATGTCTAGTAGCCAGGACTCTCCTCCAGGAGTTGTCCCTGGAGGAGAAGACAGGCCACTACTGCTACCATTTAGCCCAAGCGACTGGAACTTGTGTTGTAGATTCTCTTGTTCAATTCTTGATGCCAAAGATTGTGTTCAAGCTGTGCTTATATCTCATGTAAAGTCCCATCCACGAGTGAGCAGAGAGCAGTCCATGTTCACGGCCTTGTGAGCTATTATTTCAATTGTGTGATGCCTTTTTGTCTAGAGACTTCTCTGTCCCACTCAGAATGCTGGGTAGACGAGAGAGGGCTGTCTTAGTGTCTCTGGCAATTGTTGTACAAACTGGCAAGGCTTATGGTTTGTGATGGGGTTTTTTTGGAACAGCTGAGATCTGATATGTGTTGTCGCAGGAAAGTCAGTGAGTCCTGTACTTATTACTTTGAAAACTCAGGTCCGAGGCATCTCAGAATGGATGCCCCAAATTAGTGGATGCCTTTTCCCTCAGTTTTATCCTTAATATCTTTCTATTACTTTCTCATTTGTACAACGTGGAAAATACTGCCTCCCTTTGTAGGTCTGTTATAGAGATAGTCCTCATGACTATAAAACTCTCATTGCTTTTTGATGAGCTCTGTATAAAAGTGACATGGAAATAATTTACACAGAGCAGGGAATAGATAGTGCATGGTAGACAAGAAGTATAGCCACATACACAACAGCAAGACTTAACAGAAATATTGCATAGTTTTCTCTTCAGCTCTAGGGGTAAAAGAAATGATGCATATTTCCTACAGTCACCTGAACTCTCATGTATAGCCAGACAAAATTTGTTTTTGTACCTCTTGTTTTTATTCAGGTGCTAAGTAATAAATGTGTTCCATAGACATTTGTATATGTTGCTTTTTGCTCAGACTCACTGGAAGGAAAGTTAGGTATGAGCTTTGTAGAATACCATTAAAACTGCATCTAAAGCAAGACAGAGAAAACTTACTTTGTCTGAGAGAGATTCATAAAGGTTTTTCGGTTTACCTGTGGAGGTATAATTAGTAAAATTTGGAGATACAAAACTTCCTACTTGGGTTCAGTTCTGCAGACAAAATAAACTGGGAATGGATGATGACCTATTGTTTCTAGTACCAAATTTCCTCTTTCCTACTGATAGCTGAGTGTCTCATTGAAGGGAAATCTTGAGTGAAATCCTGGTTCCACTGAGGTCAGTGGTAAAAAAAAAAAAAAAAAAAAAAGATTGAATTTAGTGATATTAGGGTCCCCTGAAGGTCTAGTGCTTCGTTTCATCAACCAGCTGTTTTTCTCGTTGAAGATGGCAGAAGGGCTGCAATCTGTGAAATCACGTTTTAAAATATTCTTTTGCCTTGAAAAGTGCAGATAAAAATGTAGCTTTATACTCCACCCTCCTTAATAGTGTTAGACAAAAAACAGGCAGAAATATGATCTTCTATATAACTAATCAGAATCGTTTTGCTGTCTCCATACATATTTTTCCCATGGTGCTAGGATGGTAAATATTTTAGTAGAGGGAATTAGCTCTACTTCTTTTCCTTTATGTTCTGTTATCAACGGGACTAGCCCACACCCTCACTTTGCCTCATTTTTTGGCTCTGTTTCTAAACCCTAAAATTCCTGTTCCTGCATTGAAACACAATTAAATTGAGGCTTAATGTGGTGCCTGTTTAATGTAATCTTGCTTTCTGGCTTTTTTTTTTTTAATTCTTCCAAGTCTGAATCTCATGAATCAATGTGTATTCACATTTCATCTGAAAATTGCTAACTCTCCTCGGTATGCCTTAAAGCTTCCCTTTTTTGGTTTATGAAATAATAATAAAGAAGCTTAACTCTTAAGATTAAGTTGTAGCTGGTTTGTACATTAGACAGACAATTTCAGCTTAACAAAGTAAAAATGGTGTGAGAGAGAAATTGCAGCTTGATTATTTTTTGAAATATTCAGATTAGAATGTCATCTTTTATGAGTTTTTTTATAACCACTTAGATTGATACAACTCTCTAAAGCTGCTCTGTTTTTCATCACACATTCTCATCTGTAAAACCTTCATTTTTATTAATCTTTGTACAATCTGTACAACTTTGAGATTAATTATTTTAAAAGAGCTACTTTCCGAGTGCTAAGGATTTGCTGGACTAATGCTAAATGCAAGCATTTCTAAATATTCTTCAACAGATAGCACTTGCTTAACATTTTATGTTGCACAAGTATCAGTCTTTGTTTCCCAGTTATCTAGAGTTACATTTTATGGATATGTTTCCAGGTCTGTTTCTGGCTGTCTAGAACCAAAGAACAAATACACTGGGTCATTTTTTCATCAACTAACTTGGTGAACTCTACATACTTACAGTCCAGTTCTGCCTTCATGCTGCTCTTGTTGAAATTAAGGGAGCTGCATATTTACAGGAAAAGGCCGAATGAGACTGTGACACCCAATCCTGTAGTCCTTACTCGAACAAAATTCCTGTTGGATCCTGACAGAGCAGTTTGTCTGCAACTGGCCTTGCTTAGTTCTGACTCCCTGTAGGACTTGCAGAGGGATTAGCCTTGTGTCTCTCCTAATGATAACTCTAGGCTTTAAAGGGGAAATTGTGTTTATTTTTGGTTAATCCAAATCTTTGCCCCTTGATATCCCCTTGGCTTTAGCTGAACTTCTCCTGGGGGTTGCTCAGCCCTTGGAGGAAGGGGGACGTCACTGTGTTGGAGCTTTGGCCAGTGCTGGTAGCGGTGCGTGAGCGCGCTTGCGGCAAGGCAGCGTGCAGCTCCATTGGCGGTTCTCCCGGCTACCTTCAGCGGTGCTGCAGCAGTCCAGGCTGCCAGGGCAGAACATGCGGCTCCTTCTCTGGGGACGGATCTATCCCAAAGTATCAGTGCTTGCCTACCCTGAATTATCAGTGTTCACCTGGACAGCACTGGAGAATCTCTAATGCATTTTCTTTCTAATCTGTAATACATATATTATTAATGGAACTGGCATATAAAATGTAGACTTTATGGTGCTTGGGGGAGATGTAGGATGTTGACTACTCCTGAGATACTATCTGGACAATTTTTTGTTATTTTTACACCGTAGTGAAGGTCAAAGTGTATGAGACATTGTCCGTTAGCCTAGTTAAGCATATAATCCCTGACTAGAAAAGACAAAAGTTAAAGATCTCCTACCCTCATTTACTTAATGTACTGCAGGTATAAATTCATCGGTTACTTGCATTGCTCATGTATGTGGGATTTCCTCTGATCATTATCTTTTGAGTGCAGTAAAGTAGGTCTCTGAGGTTCAGTAATATATTTAGGAGATTTATACCGGTTCTTCTATCAGTTCTTTTTATTTTAATATATAGATTATAGCAACATAAAGAAACCTGACTCTGCAAAATGTGGTATAAATTTTGTGGAGTACATCACGGATGCATTGAGTGAAGGAGGTTGAAAGAAAAAAGTTTGTCTTTCACAGTAAGGTAAGGACTGATGCGGAGTAAAGATTGAAGTTCGAGCGAGTGGTGGTAGGGAGTGATTGTGAAAACTCTTCCTTCAGTGTACCAGTATCTTCCCTGATTTGAACGAACATTCACTTGTTAATTTCTGCCTCCCTGAAGATCAAATTATTGCGTATTGCTTCATAGTAAATAATACCTTCTTTCCCAAGAAATCTCACTTGGCCCAATTTGCTGTCTTTGTCCATATGACCATGCTGAGTACCAGCCAATGCTGATATGTTTTAAAATGGGAACTATGGTTTCTCATTGAAATGTCTCTTATAGGGAGCTGTTTAAGTAAATAGCTGTTCAGTAGTTAGTATATTATGGTTAAGGAGGCTCTGAAAACAGGTTTTAATCTTCAAGGCTTTGCAGTTTTATGTACAGCTATAGTGAAGTGTAATTAGAAATAATGGGAGGAAATACGAAAATGAAAAGGCTGAACATTGAGGAAGACTTCCCAAATATGCAATAAAAGTTAACATGGAGGTCTTCTGGAGGATAGCTCCCATTCATAGAGATATAGCTGAGGGCATAGACAGGGTGTTTGTTCTGATTCTTATTTCTGGGAGGAGTTATTTCAGAACCGACTAGTCTTTACAAAGTCTTAATCACTGAAGGATGAAAACCATGTGAATGTGAAGGGAAAGTTAGGCTGTATTTTGTGGTATAAGCTTTTACTGGATATTCCTATTCCTTCTAAAGTTTCTGTCCTGGGAATTCTTCTTATCTGGCTTTTTGTTGCTTGTTTATTATAATGTGTAAGGTTGTTAGCAAAGGTGTGAATGAAAGGTTACACAGTTACTCAGGGTGACTAATGGTAAAGTTTACTAATACACTGCAGATGAGCAATAGCCTCTGCTGCAAACTGCAGAACTTCCTCATTGTGAAGGTGGTAGTTTTCATCTCCCACTTTTCAAAAATGCACCATATAATTTGTGATTAACACGAGTGTTACCAACGGTTGGGTGCTGTGTCCCCTCCTCCGTTTATTTATTTATTTTTAGCAAAGTTTATGGACTTTACTGCCTTTAAATGGAGGGGAAAATTCAACACTGATGGGGAATCTGAGTTGAGCAAATGGTAATTTATTGCCTGTATTAGGGGACCAAAGGTTCCTAATAGGAGACAAAAGGAGACTTTATTTAGTTAGACATGGTACATATCCAGAGAAGAGATAAATTTAAATCAGATAATAGTATCTTCCTTTCTCTAATATTGCAGATAATGCCACAGATCAGAGATACTTTCTTGCCACCATCCTGTAACTTGTTTCATTAAGATCTCCTGTTTGCCACTTAAAACCGAAATAAGCAGAGTATAGTCTCCTAAAGGATGCAGCCTTTGATCCTTTGCCTGGGTAGGAGGAATTGAAGCGAATTCTTGACAAGTTCTAGCTGGCCAGAAGCAGGAAAATGGTGGCTGTCACTGAATCTCTGAAAAGCAGGTCTTTGTGTCATTTGGCTCTGCTGCCTGAACTAACCCAAGATGTGAGGTCAGACATGCATAACGGCTGCAACTGGATGTTGCCTTCCAGAAGGCTTGCTATGGCTACTGGTCAGGCTATGACCGTGACGCTCCTGCCTGAACAGCTGGGGCAAAATGACTGCTGAGTGGATCTCTGAGTCTGGTGGAAGCCGCCCTTAGAAATAGGACGTAAAACCTAGGTGATGCATATGTGCACTTGTACCTTTCTGGTTAGGCAGCTGGCAGGAGCTGTTGTAACCAGGATTTGAATCTAGTGTTTTAAGCAGCAAAGGACTTGAGCTAAAGAAGCACATCTCCCAGGTGACAGCCTGCAAACTGGTGCGTGGGCTAACAAAGACGAATGTGGCTCACATGCTACAGCAATAGCTGTTCATAAAAACTCTTCCCCGCCTTTTTAGTGAAGTTCACAAACCGTTTAGACGTCTCCTGCATTCCAGTTCCACTGGCTGTTCTGCAAATCACTTAAGTGGTTTAAAACTTCCTTGTAATTCTACTCTGCACATGAACTTTGAGTGAAGAGAAAGGAAGGACTGGTGAAATGAGAGTCTGGGCCTCAGGGACCCCCTAGAATTGCTATTGCAAGCATTTGGCAAAGCCTAGGATAACATCCTATATATCCATCTTTGTCCCTAACAGTGTGCCCCTGGGCTTTGTTCTGGGCTTTCTAATTTCTAGCGCAGTGTAAAATATGAACGCTTACCATTGCCAGTGTATATTAATACATGTGGCTACGAATGTAAAAGCTAAAGTTTGTTTACATCATTTTGACATCAAGGAGGTTGCAAACAGGAAATACAATAATGCTTTTAACATTCTGGAGAGCAGAAAGTAGGATTTTGAAGAATAAGTGTAATTAGATAAACATATGATTGTGACACCCCCCAAAGCACAACAGAAGTTACACATTTTTAAATTTGTTGTCATGATACTGCATGCAGAATCTTGATCATTAGGGATCCCTCAGTAGGGATAGACTAATTTTTTTTTGTTTTTTAAATGAAAGGTTAATCTATAATGCATCCTGCAAGCTGATATGTGGGATAAATAGTTTGGACACTGATTTGAAATCTCTGTTTATGAGTACATGACTGCTATTCTTATAAATGTCATCACTTTCTTGGTAGTATCTGGTAATATCTGAGTCATGAGGTGCTGACAAAAATCCACTGCACTTAATGTGAAACTTGAGGCATTTTGCTCATTCCAAAAGATATTAGCAATAGCCAGCCCCACATTTAACTGATAAATAATGTGTACATGTGCACATGACACAGTTATGCTGCTATGTGGGTTTTGTTTCCCTTTCCCAATATCTTTGTGGAAATACATTAGAGTCCAAAACATGGCAGTCATTTTTTTTCCTGAACTGTCTTAATGGATACTAGTAGATGTATGTATGGACTCAGTGCTTTGGCCCAGAAGGAAGCAGACCCATACAACAGCAGAGCAGGCTTCTTTTGGTGAATGTGGCTTGAACTTGGATATCCTGGCTACAGAAGTGAACTCTGCATCTGTTATCGCCAATTTAAGAAATGAAACCTCTCACATGGAGCTGAGTACTGAAAAATATTTCATTTCTCCATTATTCCCCTCTTTATTTACAGCCATACGGCAGGATATGAAAATGAGAACCACAGTGCTCCTATGTTATACAGCTGTGGGGCCCAGTACAGAATACACACCCATGGAGTTTTTAGAGGCATACAAGTGAGTATAGTAGGGTATTCTTCACAGGGAAGTAAACTTCTCCCTGACTGTAATGTTTGTTTACTGCTTCACTGGTATTTATAAATCCATCCTTGATTTGCGCTTTCCCTGTGTTATCTTGAAATGCTTGAAATAACATGAATAACGTGTGTCCTGACTTCATTGTATACTGTAAGACTACTTTCTGGCACAGCCATTTACAATTGTTTATTTCTCCTTCTGAAACACATCTGTGAGGCAATATTCCTTATCAGCTTCTTGGGATGGTCCAAAATAGAAGGTCCAGTCACTTTTGCCATGTAAGGCTTCTGTGGTTACAATGGGTTAAGTCCAATACTGTATATAAAAAAGTGTTAGATGATATTTTGATTTCAGGGATTTATAAAGCTTTACTAATTTGAACATATTTCCTTGAAAGAAAATATAATAAGTGATTGTGTCCTAATGACTAATTTGTAAACGTTTGGAAGGAAGGTATCATTCATGGGAGTTAATTTTCTCCCTTTCTGAAGGTTAGAACATTGATATATAACACTGCAAAAATATACCTTATTTGAACTTATGGCAAAGTCATTGCATGATATTTCTCTTCTGTGTCACTCTGTCTTCTGTGTTTTTAACATACGTGAATATTTTTACGCAGCATCATTTGTACTTTTCTATTTACTGTATGGTTTAACAATTCATTATTTAGCAGTGAGCGCTCAGAAACAGGCGTGTGAGCCAGCTTTTTGTTGAGTGAATAGAACTTAGTGGTTAACATTGTTTAAGGAAGTTAATTATTCCAGGAGATGATCGTTTCTGATGGCACACTGTGACAGTGGCCAAACTCTGTTATAGTTGAACTATCCACCAGCTCCACCTAGACAGTTTTTCTTGTTTTGTTTTTTACCAATTTGCATTAACCCAATACATTAATATCCCTGTCCTTTAACTTAATAAGAAAGTTTAATATGAAGAATGGAATGTTACTCTGGCTCATGCTCTTATCTCTTTCACTGGTATAAGCCTAAAATTATTTCATATGCCAATGAGTGTTCTTCCAGGATTGTGCAATTATACATGAGATCAGAACACGGCCTATTTTATCTTACATATAAATATTGATGAATACTGGAATTTAGTAAGCAGAGTTCACTGTATTTCACCTTCATATAATTTTAATACTCCACAAAGAATAGATTAAGGTATACTAAAGTTGTACTTTGTTAACGAATAGTAAAATAAAATTGCCTGTTTGCACTGCAGTATATTCAAGTATCTCTTTGTCATGGAGAAGTGCATTTGAGTGTTTGCTTTTGAATATGATAACTAGAAACCAAGAACATATGCATTGCATCAGCAAGTCTCTGTCATTGTAGGATGTCCGACGGGTGCCAGGAGTAGCTCCAACTATTGTCCGATCAGCAAGTGAGACAAATGAAAAGCGCCCCTTCATGTGTGCGTACCCTGGCTGTAACAAGCGATACTTTAAGTTGTCCCATTTACAGATGCACAGCAGAAAGCACACTGGTAAGTGTCAGCACTGACTGGTATAAATTACGTTACAACACTGGACAGCAGAGTGGCGAGGGTGATTTTAAAATGGCATTAGATGCAAGAAATAATCTGCTAATCTGGGGACAGTGAGAATCTGTCAGACAAGGTATGTACGTGCTCTGTCATCTGGGCAGTTCCTCTTCTGGGTGCAGAAGATTCTCTGTGAATCTAGTGAGGAAGAAAAACACAGAGCAGCACTGACAGCAACTAGATCACTGCCTGCCTCTCTTACTATTTAGAGAGTCTTTCAGGGTGTAATTGAAAATTTCACTGTTTCCTCTGTAAGAGGAACCCAGACTTTTAGCATCCCCTTGTCTCCCTCTATAAGCAACTTCATGGTTGGGCGTGGGGGAGCAGGGACTGGAGAATGAGCTCCCTTCCTATGGGACCTTTTCGTGAAGAATTGAGGCTGAAGACAATCATCAGTAGGCTGAGATCTGGGATCTCTTTGAATTCAGGCAATACATGTTACATCTCAAAATACGGACATAATAAAATGCCCTGCTTTATCCTGCACAAGAATAAATTGAATCTTTTCATATTTGAAGATTTGTAACTGTTTTGAAATGTATGATTATGATACATCTTTAGATATGTTCCTTATGCTTTTTTTTTTTCTGATTGCTTATTACATTTTTATTTAGATAGTGCTTTCTGGGTATTATGATTTAAATCTGCAGATAAAATCTGTAAATACAGATGTTTAGTTAGCCATGGATATGACAGAATGTGAAAGTAATATTACATTGATGTCTTCCTTCAATATTTAATATATGACTCCGGTTTCTCAAGAGGCAGTTTGTTTTTGCTGTTGTCTCTGGAGAGCATATGTTGCTGACTGTCCATCACATTGCTATCTGTTCCTTTGTACTAGAAAACTGTCAAATAGTTTCTTTCAACTATTCGGCAATGTTAACGATTATCATAGTTGTCAAAGGGATGAAATAGACCACGGGAAGGCAGTCCATGTTGTTGTGACTGGGCAGATGGTCTCAGAAAAAGTAGTTTGCAAACTTTTCCTTTTGAAGGCCGTACGGTTTCTTGCTCAAAACAATTGTAAATTAGAAATAAGCATTACAAAGCATTTTTAATTCTTGAATGTGCAAGTTACAAAATATTCAGATAGACATCTTCAATGTTGCTCAGATTACAGGTTCAAGGTAATTTAGATTGTAATGGGAACTTAGTCTTTAGGATCTAAGGTCTGCAGAAATGCTATTCTATTTTCCATAAATAAATCTAAAACAGAAGAAAATTTGGAGACCTTTTTGGGGTGCATTAGCAACAGTATTTTCCTTGAATATGCCTAAAAACATTCTGAATTTTTATCCTAATTGCTTTTTCTTTCATTCCTAGACTACTTTACTCTGTATTATAGCAATCATAATCTTAATTTGTTTGTTCTGATCCTATATTTTATTGTATTTAGTTGCTTGGCTTAGGCAGTGTTATTTCTGGATTCATCATAAGGAATTCAGTTTACTTTTTTTTTTCTTTAACTGGAGAAGATTTTTAGCATTGTATCACATATTATCTAGGCATGTAGAGTCACCAAAGTCCCAGAAGATGTAAGGGATGGGACTAGGGCCATCTAGCAGCCCTGCAGCGAGTTCTCCCATTTGCTCTGAGGTTATAAAAGCCCCCTGCTTCTATTTTGGTTTATGCTATAGTGGAACCAGGTAGAGGAGACAAGTTTTTTCCTCTCAAATGCTTCTTCTGTACAGGTGGGCCCAGATCTCTCTGCCACTACATTTTCATATGTTGACAACAAGCCTTTTTTTCCTCTAACCTTTGCAAGGTACTTTCACTAAGTGGCCAACCTGATTCCCAAAGCTTGCATTTGCTGATACAAATGTTGATGTTGCCAAGACCTCTCTGGGATATAGTATGTCCAGGTCCAGTCAACTATGATCAGCAAAGGTGAATGTAGGCTGGAACAGGGGTAGAGAAGGCTTTCTGGGATGATTAAAGGATTGGCAAACGCATCTCAAAAGGTAGTGAGAATAAACTAACCTTTTATGCCTGGCAAAATACAGACTGAGAGAGGATATGGACATGATACCCTTTTAAAAATGCAGTTGCAGTAAGCACCGAAGATGTAGAGGATTTTTAAATAAGAGAATAATAATGCAATATGATTAAATAGGCAGGAATTAGCAATCAGCCATTCAGACTGAAAACTAGAAGAAAGTTTTTAGTTATCTGAGAGGTAGATTCCAGGGATATATTTGAAATAGGTAGTGGGGTTTTAAGTTTATTTTTTCCATAAGGTTATGGAAGCCCATGATAGGAGAAGGTAGTTTATAGAGAGAGGAAACTAAACGTGGGAGAGGAGTTTTGAATTTTTGATTGGCTGGGGCTTTGAAAGCAGATAGTACCTTATTTATTTGATATTGGGCTGTCCCTGGTAACCCAAGTGGACCCGGAAGGAATATTTTCTCCACTGGTATATGATATGATGATATGTCTTGGTGTATCTGGGGGTTTTGCTTCCCTCTGCCATGTAAGCCTTGGAGTTGGTTGCAACTAAAGACAGAAAGCAAGAGATAATGCATTGCTGGTATGGAAATTGCTTGGTTAACTTGCTTGGCTGATACATCCAGACTTGGGATCAGAAGGGATTTCTCCTCTTTATCTAACTGGCTTACCTGCCTGGTTTTTGCCCTTAGCCTATTGTATGGGTGCTAGCTATTTCCTATGATTATCATCTGGAAATTTTACTCTAGCAAGTCTCCAGCTGCACAGAGATTAGGACATGATGCGCTTCATTTCTTGTCTCCTCCAGTAGCCTGTAAGTCTTAGTTTTTGGGAGTGCTTGATGAACTATACATATATATATACACATATATACGGGAGTATTTGTAGTGGATATTCTGCAAACACTTCTGAATATGAATTAATGTATTTTCATGGATGCTTGGCACTGCAGAAGCGCTGGACTTGGTGGCTGTATGGTCCTTTTCAGTCCCATCCTCTTCAGGAGTCCTGGACAGGTAGAGAGACTGTTATGCTGAGAACCCATTTCCAGTCTGCTGTGTAACATCTATCTTTCCCTGGCTATCTAATCCAAAATTATGGGTCTTTCTTGTGGAAAAGCTGATCGCTGAAAGCAAAATCTGGAAACCAACTTTCTCCAAGGGCAGATCAGCCATTGCTATGACGACTGTGTCTTGCTGTTGATAACAGTTATGACAGCTACAGTTCACACTTCTCTGCACCTTCTTTTTTTTTTTTCCCCCCCCTTCTGTTTTTATCTGTGAGGGAATATCTTAAGGGACCAATATGACCGGATTGATAAGGGAGCAGTATGACTAGAGTGAGGCTATCCAAATGTGTTAACTAATTTATATGGCTGTCTCTTAGGCTCTCTGATCATCTCTCTGTTTGTAACCTAATTAGCTCCGTAACACCACTTTAGAGTGATATCATGAAGCTAATTTTAGAGTTCCCTACTAAGCATACAAATTGGGCTTGGTAGAATTAACTTAGACAGAAAGTAGTTGGCAGACATAATACTTAATATTCTTACTAAATAAAGGGGTATTTCTCTTCTTCTATTCCAACTTTTTGATGGGGAACAAATCCTGACAAGCCAGTTTAAAGTCAGGAGAGCTCTCAGAAATCAGCCAGAGTAGAGGATAGTTCAGTTGTGTTTGGTATACCTCCTTATGGCCAAAATAAAATTTTACTAGTCCTCATGTCTTGTGGTTCTGGATTGACTCAGGGGTTTAAAGCTCTTCCACCTTTCTTAGCATAATGGAAGGTCAATTTTGTAATTATGAACACCTGACTTGAAAATAGTTAAATATATCTAAAATTAAACCAGCAAGTGGTATCATTACAGAATAATATTGGTTCTTGATTATAACTTTCCTTTCTGTCATAGATATTTACAGAGGACTGGCTCATTAGATCTTCTATTCACCAGCTGCAGTACTGCAAAATCAAGCAGGGCTCTGAAACACAAAATTGGATTCTGTAATCAGTTTTTACCAATGTTTCAACATAGCCTTAGTGGAAAATATGTTGACATTTTGTACCCTCCAAGACCGCTTATCCATTGTTAACAATGCCTTTATTGAAACATGTACCGCCAAAAAAGCTTTCTCTTATCTTGGTATATTTTGCTGCAGTAGATAGGCCTCCTGAAGGAAATGCAAAAATACATATAACTTTTTGACAGTACAGCCATTAATATAGTGAGTTGTCATCCTGTAGTAGACTTTAGAGATTTCTTTGCAGAAATAAATTTATGTCTAAACCTTCATGAATTTTATGTATGGTGGAAACATCACCATTTTTGCCTGAGCCCTTTTGATTGTAGCACCACACATTGGAAAAAATGTGAAATTACCCAAACTAAAAGCAGCATCTTTGCAGGGAAAGTATTCTCTGCCTTTGTACAAAAGACATCCTTCAGCCTAAATATTCTCAACTGCAGGTAACGAGTTTCTATAATGAAAACTGAGAATCTATAACTCAGGAGGGTCACCCGTTATGCAGTCGGGGTCTCAGCTCTTGGTGGTGAAATTCAGAGGTTCTAATAGGTCTAAATAATGCAGCTGAATAATCATTTCTATGCTCATCATCTAATAATGATTTCTTTGCTTTGACTAAAGCAAATAGCCTTTTACAATGGCATGTGTTACTATGCTGCAAAACACCTTACAGTCATTAGTGCAGTTCATCATTACAACACCTTTGAAAGATAGAGTTATATTCTTTTTATCCAGAGATGATAAATGGGCTTGTTTGTGTTGGAGCCGGGAACTGAACAGGCTCTCCTCTTAAGTCTAGTGCTGTAACTTCTGGAATAGCGCTCTTTCCTTAATGCTGCTTTGAAATACTGACCTTTATACTTAAGCTGTGGAATACCATCCTGCAAAATACTGTGGAAGCTGAAAGTTTACATGGGTTCAGGAAACGACTGGACAAATTCATGGAAAGAAATTCCATTAAGCACTGTTAAATATAAAGCCACCTTTGGCTCAAAAGTCTCTGACTCACAGACTTGGATACTAGGAGAGTGTCCAGGGAAACTATTATGGCTACTTGCCCTATTGTGTTCTGCCATGGGCATCTTTGGTGAACCCATGTGGGAGACCACAGGGCTGGATGGACCTTTGGCCTTAGCCAGTATGGACCACTCTTAGGCTGTCATTTCTGAGGGGTAAAACAAAATTATGTGTGTGTTTAAAATAAGAGATTAGTTGCACAACAATAACATCTTTTTACACCCGAAGTCCTGTATGAAGATGAAAATTTTACCTGTAAAAGCTCCCTACTAAATACAGAAACACGATTTACTTTGCTGAAGCAAATTTAAGTTGAACAGGAATGTGTTATACTGGTGCGGTAAAGTTCGGATTAAGGGGTTGTGCTGGTTTGATTCAGTGGGTATACAGGAAAAGTTAGTGAGGTGAGCATAGGCAAGCCTTCAGATTCTCAGTCAGGCTTCTAGTCTGCAGGCTTTGGTTTCCAAATATCAAAAATTTACCTCTGTCCTCTCCCATCTTGACTATTTCATTGTGCACCAAGTTTAGCCTTTCTTTTGTGTTCCCTCTTTTAGTAATGAAATGCAAATAATCATGAAAACCTCAGCATCATAGGTGAAAGGACTGCTGAAAGTTCATCATCATCTCCTCTTTTTTTTTTTTTTGGAATTGTATATGGTCATACAGGAAGGTGACTGTATTATGGCATGCTTTTCATACATTGAGAGGCTTAAGCCTGCTACTGGAGAGGTTCTAATAGACCCACAGGAGATTAGACACTGCCCTAGACCCTTTCTGTATAGTGCCTTAATGAGGCACCAACAGACTTTTTCTAATTTGGCATCTTCTTGTCATGCTGTTCTAATGAAACTTGTGGAAGTTAATGATTACATGACAATAGGTTTCAGTAGGTGTTTTGCTTGGCACTAGCTGATACTGAATATGTAGAAGGAAAGAGAGACTAGGATTTCTGTCCAAATATTGTGCCTCTTTTTGTTTGTTTGCTTTTGTTTTGTCTGCAGTGTTGACATATCTCTGTGTAACCATACTATATTGATTCCTTTAATACATGCATTGGTTAAATTTGTCCTGATTTAATCAAGATTATATTTCAAGTATTTAAAGAAATACTTTAAGATACATACCATCAGACCTGCTATACTATTTTATTCAAATACCTCCCTAACCATCTTCTGCATTTATATTGCAATTAGGAGACAATCATCCTGTCACTGCATTCTGCTCTGCTGACATTCCCCTCTTAAATCTGCCAAAGGGCTGAATTCCTCAGAAGTAAGTGGTTTCTGAAAAGCAGGCACCCCCCAGGGAGTCCTTGTGGTCAAAGTGTGGGGAATTATTTTAAACACTTGTGGCAACTTTAATCCCTTATGTTAATAAATTAAGCATGGCAGAATGGAAGTTGTCCACACCAAAGTTTAAGAATCAGTAAACTCCTTGGGGTGACTGTCACAGGAGCTTAAATTGTTCTTGTAGATTTAGCTGCTATTGTGAAATTTTGATCTTAACTACAGCGTTATACATTTGGAACGCTTTTCTTAATATGCTACTTATGCTGTGTTACCCAGATCAGAAGGTTTCCGCTTTAAACTAAAATAGTTTGCACTGGTGTCTTAGAACAGAGTTCTGTGCAAATATAGTACAGATCTATTAATAAGCCTTTCAGTTGGTTCTGTAATAGTACTTACATGGTGTCTAATGACAGGCCAGAAAAATCTGTTTGAAAACAGAAATATCTGTAGAGCCTTAAATCCTATGTCACACCCTATTATCCTAATGATTAATTCCAAACAAATATTTATGTAAGACAGACCAGTTCACTTACGTCAGTTATGCACAAGATGAACGTGGCATCACAGACATATTCCTTTGCTGTACCTCAGAGGATACAGTTCTCATTCAAGATGCAACTGATGCTAAGAAAAACCTTCTCCTCATCATAATATAATAAAAAATGATGATCCTTACACTGAAAGTTTTTGAAAGTGTTATGAGTTTAAAAATACACACAGAGAAGCCAAACCCAGTGTCCCTTATATTTTCAGCTGACTTTTTTCTTTAGATCCTTCATGCTGGATCTTTGTTTTATACCTCAGCTTTCCACAGTAGACAAAGCAGGTCCCAGCTGGTCCAGCGTGTACCTTGCAGATAAAAGCCAGGATCCTCCCTGCTTTGCAGTGAGATATTTCATTAGTTCTCATGCTGAGGTCTTTATGCAGACCTGTGGCACTGAAAAGAGACTTTGTGTAGGTATTGATGTAATTATGGATATTTTAGGCTCTTGCATGACTACATTGTTGTGTAAAGTGGCCTTAGACTAGATGAGAATCAGATCTGAAAAGCCATACAGCTCCTTCTGTAACAGCATATGGGTTATTTTTTTTGGGCTGGCTAGATTTTCCCTAACTCTGCAGTGTGCTGCATTCCAGCAACATTTCCCTCTTTCCTCAAGTCCTTTGATTGCTGCATTTCTCTTCGCATATTTATGTGGCTGGTGAAGTCCTTCATTTTGAAAATCATGTTCATCTGAGATACTGGCTTTTAGGCTTTTCAGTTTTTTTAAATCAGCAGCTCACTTTTGGTCCTAGACAGAACATATCCTGAGGTTCTCCACTGAACTGTACAGAAGGTAGAGGAACAGTTTATATTTATGTGAGGCTTTGGAATAATTCATAGGTTTGGCTGTGGGCTGTGTGCAGCTGCATGTGAAATTCTGTTTAACGGTGCTTTATGGAAGAAACATCATTTGTGTTTTGGGGAAGAATGTATATTTTTCTGTGGTTGAATTTTGCTCTGTTATTCTTTTAGCTCACTTAGCCTAGTTAAAATTACCAGCTGCATGGATGTCATTGGTTTAGTTTTTGCCTTAAATCCAATTCAGAGTGAACTGCATGTTGATCCCTTGCACAAATTATGTATCTCTGAAACAGGTGGAAAAGGCTGAATATGGTTTTCAGAGAAATACAGAACAAGACATTTCTGTTCTTTTCCAGCAGAAAACAGTAAAATGGTTTTCATGCAACTTCATTTTTGTGATTTTAACCTAATGGGCCATTTTTTAGAACAAAGAGATTCAAGATCAATGACAATGTAGAGTAATTAGTTATTTCCCCAGCCTTTCCCCAGTGATTCTAATACAGTTGCATAATTTTACATTAAATGAGTATCTGGCCTAACTCTAGACTGCTTTAGAAAGGAAGGAAGATGAAATCTTTTAGTGTAATGCATTTTATCTGCTGATTCTAGTTGACGTATTCCCCAGTTTAGCCACATTTTCTAATAAACTGTTTGTCCTTTACAGGTGAAAAACCCTATCAGTGTGATTTTAAGGACTGTGAACGAAGATTTTCTCGTTCAGACCAACTCAAACGGCACCAAAGACGACACACAGGTTTGTGGGCAACACCCCTCTACTCTCTAGAGTTCATCTTTGTATGCGAGTTAACTGCAAAGATTTGTTCTTAAATTTAGCTTTGGTAAGGGACTGTAGCTGCCTTTTCTTTTCTTTTCATATTTTTTTTGCTGGCATTTCAGCAGTAATGTGCTTGTATATGTGACTTTTTCATCCCACAGCCATTGTTTTGAAAGTTCTTTAAATGAAACTGCTCTGTGCTGCATCTCCAATATTGGAAATATATTTTTAAGAAGCAAACAGTTTGGCAAAAAAAATTGCCAACAAGTAACCTGATAAACACTACTGTTGCTATTCTGGTGTTTGTGTGGTAAAGCTAATATGTGAGTGCTGGGTATGTATAACTTGAAAAGGTGGTGGAATTACCGTGCACTTGCATGTGCAAAGGAGTACTGGAGAAAGAAAAGCCATACCAGCTGTATGCTCCCAGGGCTCCAGTTCAGCAAACCCTTAAGCTTAGATTTGAGCCCTTCTTGTATTTTGATGACTAAAGAGGGATTCTAGGAGTAGCAAGGAGAGAAATGTCAGAGATCTGGCTGGTTGGTTTGTACTAGAGAGTTCAACTAGCCAAAAATAGCCTGCGAACTGTACAGCACTTGTTAACCATACCGTGGATCAGGCAGTAGCGGTCATGAATGGGTTTGGGTCCTAGCTAGGCTTGTGTGATCTCTCTCAGTGAATCATTTGTTGGCTGAGGTGTTATTCTGAGGCAGCCAAAACTATTTTTGAGTTCAGTCTAAATTCAGCGAGTTGTTTTGTGTGTGCATGTGCACCATTCTCTGGAAATGTCAGGGTGGCCCTCTTCAGCATTTCTGGAGTTCCTGGCCGGCCAGACTGACAGGGGAGACAGCTGCCACTCTCAGAATCACAGAAGAGGAGACGATGCTCACTCCAGCCTCCTGGCTGGGAGTTGAACTTCGAGAGCACTCTGCACAAATGTGAGGAAGGGTTTCAGAGTGCTCCTCTGACTGAGCTGCAGGAAGAGATTGAGTTTGGGTCCGCTCTGTCTCAGGGGAGTGGTCTGACAATTGGTCTACTGTCTGTTATGTGGTGGATTTATGTCTATTACTTTTCTTGCTAAAGATGTTCTACCCCACTGAAATGGTATTATTGACAGAGGTAGGAAGTGTCTCTGAAGGCTGGTGGTAAAAGTACTCCTTTGGGATGACATATTAACAAGTGCATGCTAGAGCTTCTGTGTTAAGCAGTCCCTGAGAGTTGTGCGTAGCATGTAAAGTAAGCAGTAGTAGTAAAGCCTATTGGGAGTATATACAACTATATTCCTAAACCTCTATTTTTCTCATGTGGTATCTGCTCATATATGATGCCAACAGTGCCAAGCCATAGAATAAAAACTAATGAAATTTGCAAAGCTTCCTTGGTCCAGATGTGTAAGTGGGTGTTTGTTTACGCTGGTGCAATTTGGATACTTCAGACGCAGATGTTGGAAAAGGAGGTTGCAAAGGGGTTGTACGTGGCAGCCTGATTAATGACTTTCTGTAATGCGTAGGCATGAAGCTGGGAGGAGCAGTTACAGTAACTAGTACCAAAAATATCCAGATTTTTGAAAAATCAGAAATAGCTGGTATCATTCATCCTCCCAAAAGATGCTGGAATATGACAATAGACTTCTTTTATCACTTCAGGTGTGAAACCCTTCCAGTGTAAAACCTGTCAGAGAAAGTTCTCCAGATCTGATCATCTGAAGACTCATACCAGGACTCATACAGGTAAAACAAGTGCGTAAACTTTTCTTCACATTTATATTTCATTATTTATTAAGTTTAAATCAATGTTACTATAAATTAAATGATTATAAAGTCTCTTAACCAGGGGTTAAATATTCAAAACTACAGAAGTCATTTCAGAGTCCAATGATTTTTCAAGGCAACTATAGTCCCTAAATGTCATAGTCACTTTTCAAAATGAGATTTAGGTGATTTTAGAAACTACACATTCTTATTTCATGTTTTAAGAAATTTCAGCTTGGCAAAATGTATTCTGTCAACTATTGTGAAGTGAACATCATGATCTCAACCCACAAATGTGAAGCTGATCTACTGCTTTACTGCAAAAACATACAAGACAGAAATTTTAATTCTAGCTTCAGCAGAAGGTCTGTAATCTAAAGTATTCATAGCTACTCATGCTTCCTGTAAGTGTCAGTTGAGCCTAATGCAGGATATCATTGCAAAGCTCTTGTTGTTGCTCCTTGCACTGTAATCTCTTCTCTCCTGAAGATAAAAAGAGTGCCTCTTGCAAACTCACACTGACAGACACTAAAGTAAAAGCTTACTCAAATATTCAAGGACCTTTTTGTAGAAACCATAGTATTTCATATAAATACAGAAAAAAATAGGAGGCCATTTTAGTCTACTCTGCCCTCACATAATTGTAAACACCATTGAGGAGCAACTGCAGCAAACTCTGTATTTTAGTTGTAATTTTAGAATTGTTCTTATGAATAAACATTTTCTATTCCCTCTTACTACATATGCAGTGCTTTTACCAAACAGTTTTGTATGCTAACTTAGTTTAAAAAGAATTGAGATTATTTTTGTCAGGAAATAATTTCTCTTCTCTCTTATTTGATGCCACAGTATTTTCTATATGAGGATTAACCTTTTAAAATGTGTCTCTGCACTGGTAGAGAAGGAGCCTGAAAATCTTTTTCTCCCTGCTAAGTATTCTTTTCTTATCTTGTGGAGAAGAAATGGATGTTTAAGGCTTTCAAAAATAAATAAGAAAATTTCATAAAGGACATGGCTCACCTGAGAATAATGGGACTTTCTGTGGAGCCAGCCAAAGAAATGTTTCAAGTAATGGCTGTATCTGCACCTGCAATCTGCAAATGGTAAAGGGCATGGCTGTATTCCTGGGTTCTCCCCAGAGTCCCATGCTAAGCTGCAGGCCCTGGGTCTGTGTGCGTGTGCAGAAAGAAAGATACTTTCCTAACCAGTAAGAGGTAACTTTCTGATAGAGACAAAACGGCGAGAAAGTTTTCTCATGTCAGCCAGTCAGGATAAACTGCACTCCCCATCGCATTTCACTGCTGACTGATCTGCTAATTCATGTGAAGACTCCAGACTGTCCTGACTTCAGCAGGGTTTTATCCCAGGTTACCTAAATCAGGGAAGAACTCGCTCTCTTTTTTTCTAGTGAAACTATTCTCTCTCTTATAGTCCTTTCTTGCTGTATGTGGTCCAAGCCCAAACTGCACTCATCGCTGAAAACAGTGGCGCTTGAGGGCCAATTACTGTGTAATACAGGCCTTTGTGTGGGCTCGCTGCCCGCCACCAGCTCAGGTTGTGTTTGGACCTTGCAGCCCTGCTCTGCTGATGTTGGCCATTTCAGCTGCATCACACATCCTTGACTGTAAAATAGACATACCCTGAGGGGAAAGAGCACTAGTGATGGCTGGGGATTGTTCATGTCCAGCTTGCCCTGTGGCTTCATTCCTCTTTTTTTTCCTGTACCCCCTAAGTTTTGTAACAAAACACCTAGCTCAAGTTATCTTGCTCCATGTTAAATCTTGGTGAAACAAAGCACACGCAACCTTTATCTTCTGTGGGCCCGATTTTAAATATACTATAAAACTATTTGGTAAGCTACAAATGCAGAGTCTCCACAAACAAGTTAGTTAACTGTGATAGCAATCTTTGGTTTAGAAAACAACAACAAAATCAAAGGAAAACTGCACACATCTTTTTTTTTTTTTTAAGCAATAGAAAAATGATTTCTGAAATCTGTACAGTGAAGCTATTTGGAGTAATCTGTGCCCAGTACAGGATTAGCAGAGATTGCTGCCCCCTGTTGCAAGAAGAGAACCAGAATTGCTTGTAAGGCAGCACAACTCAGTGCTGGCCTTTACTGTGGTAGTTCAGTGAAAAAACGGCCAGTAACAGATAACTCACATAAGTTCACAGGATGGTTTGGCTAATGCTGCTGAGATGAAAGGAGACCACTTTATGCAATCTGTGATTCTTATCAGTAGTTGTAACCAGATCAGCTTTGTCCCATACTGTTTTATGCACTCATGTGAGATGGTTGATGCTTTTGCAAGCTTGTATGTTAAGTGGATAAAGTAGATTTTAACCCCTCCGCCCTGTTTATATAATCTGTTTATTGCATGGGATTTTGCAAACAGAAATACACAACATTTACGCCCATCCCAGACCCCTTTTGCCTGAATTTGGATGTTTGTGAAATGCACAAAGTGTGAGGCAAAGAAGAGAAGAAGATGGCTGGGTGAGCTCATACCACTCCAATGTGTCTGAGTTGGAGAGTACAAGGTGTGTAGACAGCATGGAAGAGCCCTGGCCCAGAGCTGAAGCCGCTTTAAAGTATTGCATCTATTTGAGGGTAAAAAAAAAAAAAGGAAAACAAAAAAAGGAAAAAAAAGAATATGCAAGTCTAAAAGAAACATGAGTCACCGGGCATTGCTCTGAGCTAATGAAAGCATTCCATCAGCATTCACTGCGGCATCAGAAGCACGGCCTGAAATTCCACTTAAGTATTGTAGAAAATCAAGAGAGCAGATTAAACCGTAAAAAGGTGATGGCATTTCTTGTTAAAGTTGTATATGCTGTGCTTGGGGTTCATTTTTAGTGAAGAGTATATTTGTTGGAATGTTAGAAAAATACTGAATACTTTGGGCCTCTAAAACCTTTATTTTGACAGTAGTGGGAAACTTTTAGTCTAGTTCAGCAGACTTCATGCTGAACTCTGTTGCTTCTACCACATTCCCTTACACTCACCACTTCCAAAGAACTTTGGCCAAAACTCGTTGAACTTGCTGGAAGGGCTCTCCTTGACTTGATGTCAAGCTCTAAAAAGTCACTGATAGTTTTTCACAGTGTCTAACAGTATGTCTGCACTGCACACAAAGGTGTGATTGAAGCTTGTGTGAATGCCAGAGTTAGTTCCAAACTAGTTCATTCAAGAACCGATAGTCTAGCCGTGGCAACACGGTGTGTTCAGTATCGGCCTTTCTTTAGGAAGGAACTGTTGCTACATGTTCTACGTCATCTGAAAAGGCTGTTGTTAAACACCAGCTGAGGGAGAAGTAGGAAAACACTGAGCACTGAAGTGAACAGGAACTGAGGGCACTCCCACACCCGTCAGGCCAGCCCAGGGTGCCGTTCCTCCTGACTGGAGCTCTGCCTAGCTCCTCACAACCCTGCAAAAAGAAAATAAATAGCAGTGTCTCAGGCAAGCGGTGTACCCGGTTAATAACAGGGTGTTTTGTTAACAGGTGAAAAGCCTTTCAGTTGCCGGTGGCCCAGCTGTCAAAAAAAATTTGCCAGGTCTGATGAATTAGTTCGTCATCACAACATGCACCAGAGGAACATGACTAAACTGCAGTTGGCCCTTTAGACAGTTCAAACAAGTGAATAAACCAGATGGGACATTATGAGCTACTGCAAACTTTTTCAGCCATCTTCGATCACCTCTGTCAGAAAGCTGCGGCTGTCTTCACAACCCATTTGACACAAGTTAACTAAACCGTAGGATTCTGCTCAGCCTTGTCTTCCATTCGGACTTACAAAATTTCCTAGTCAATAAGTTCAAGATATTTTTATTTATAACTTTGTTAAAAAGTGAGCAAGATTGCCACAGTTTCAATATTACTATCGCTGACACCTTTGATGTCTGCTTCGATGTCAGTTTTCTGCTTTAATTTTTACTTGAACTTTTCTAGGTACATATTACTGTACCTTTTTCAGTCCTGCAGTGGGTAGGGCACCTGTCCCTATTCAAGATAAGCTTTATGCTTGCTGCATTTGTGCATGTGCTGAAGTTTCTAAATGCTAGTGTAGCTATCTTCCCAACTGAACAGTCATCTGAGATACTTTTAGTAAACTTTGTACTTGTACTGCCAAGGGGCAAGCTTCTAAAGTTGGAAGTTCTGCTTTTGAATTTCACAAATCAAACTTTTTTAAAGAACATATTCCTAGAGCAGCTAAAGCTAGATGAACCAGTACCTCTCTGTACAGAAAATAAGAATCTTACCATTAAGTTAACTTGTTTTTTAAATAATAACATAATTGATCCCCAACAACTGATTTGTTTGTCAAATAACTCTCTCTCTCTCTCTCTTGCTCTCTCTCTTTCAAATGTATTGGTTTAAATTTATTCCATCATGAGACATATAGATCTCCTTTACACAAAATTAATTTTGATCATTGTAGACATTTGGGATTTGTTTACAATGTAAAGCCACACTGGTTATGTGGCTAGCAAGCTGTATAAACTTAAAACTGAACTTTTAATGGGGCTGGTCCAGGATCTCCATTAACAGATTACTCTTAAGATAAGTAACTTAAAAAGACTCTGTCAAGTATATGTGAAAAAGACATTATTAGTGTAAGGAAATATATTGTTTCAGGGTTTTGGGAGGAGGGGTTTATTATTTACTTTTAATTGCTTGAAATTGTGTGTATATATATATATCTGATAATGTATTGCTCTTAGACATCTAAAATTAGAAAGCGTATAAATATTAGATGCATCACTGTTCTGATGTCGTTGCTGTTACAAACTATTGATAACACTAAGAATGTAACCTGCATTTTTCACTGAGCTTTCAATTAAAGCCCATTCAAAGAGAAACAAATGAGAGTCCAACAGATGTCTTGTTTCATGTCTGGTATTAAATTTCAAATGCCCTGTCCAATAGTATCCATTTTTTTTTTTGTATATAAAGGTACCACCAGCACTGATGACCACTAGTTAACCTGTCCAGGTCTTGACCACAATTTATCCATCTCACTTGGGAATACTGGCAACAGAAAACAGTGTCAAGTTTCATATTGTGCTATAAAACAGTTGCTTCAATCGTTCATCTTCTTACAAAAGTATTCCTTTTCTTTAGACCTGTAAGATTTGTATAAAACTTTATAGCATAGTAAAATCCAGTTTAAAAATAGAAGTATTGGCCTTCTGTAGAACTGTGCTGAAATTATTCGCATAGATAACTTTTTAGATTAGGATGTCATAAAGTGACTTTTAAGTAAAAGTTAAAT